GCTATGCAACTGGCATAGGCACCACTAAGGATGAAAAGAAGGCATTTGAGTGGTTTTTAAAATCTGCTAAAGGTGGTAATTCTATTGGACAATATAATCTTGGAAATTTCTACAAGAATAGTACAGGCACTGCTAAGGATGAAAAAAAAGCATTCGAGTGGTATTTAAAATCTGCTGAAGGTGGTCATCCTGATGGGCAATATGAACTCGGATTATGTTATCGAAATGGCATTGGAACACTACCTAATCAGGAAAAGAATGGCGTCATGCCTGTGACTGTGCTAGTATTTGGATAACTGAGCAAATTGACGACGCAGAAGTGGAAAAGGAATTATATTTTGCCTGTGAGCAATATTTGATTCAACAAGATTCTGAGCTCATTAACAGTCAAAGCGAAAACAAAGAAAATCTTCAAGAAAAGGAAGAAGAGGTGTTCATGATTAATATTATGGAAGAAGCACCAGATGATGCTGAGGCAGAAATTGCTCACACAATTTGTAACTCTCAAGCATACGACGGTTCATTCGTCATACACCAGGTAATTTTTGACCATCTCAAAATTCATTCAATCGATATTGCGGTTAAATCTCTTAAGTGCAATGTAAACAGTTCATTCTTAAAAAGTTGTGATACTTCTATATGATGTACGGCTTTTACAATCATATATTTAAAAAATATATTGGCTGACTATGAACAAGAATGGCAATCAGCCTGTGAACGTTCTGCGACCTGGATTAGTCAAAAATGTAATAATAACTCTGAAGTGGAAACAGAATTGTATTCTGCGTGCGATAAATTCATAGCCAATCAGATTATCAAAGTTTATTATGAAACTCGTAAAACTGTGTATGACTTTCTTAGTTCTTAAGTTAGCCCAGATTATTCTCGTAGACTTATTTCATCTCAGGAAAATGATGGATCATTCTCTCTTCACGATTTAATCTCTGAACATCTTCAGATTTCAGCAGCATATGAACAGGTATTATGGAAAACAGTTTAAAATGTATCTATGACAATTTAATTAAAAATTGTTAACATTTAATATTGTAAATTTTGCTCGTAATTAAATACTTTTTTTAAATTATACAAAAAAGCATAGAAATAGATCATGGACATATGAAAATGGCCTTGGACCGCTAGGTGAATCTATTAAACACTACGTTTGCAGCCCACGTCTAAAACGGTGTGATGCCTTCATTTGGAATACAGCATTTACAATTATATACTTTAATATCGTGTTAAATAAATATGAATCCGAGTGGCGAACTTCATGTGAGCGCGCCATAGCATGGATATCTGAACAAATAAATGATTCTGAATCAGAGAAAGAATTGTACTATGCGTGTGAACAATACTTATTTGAACTAGGCTCTGATATTCTTGATAATGATACCGAGACCCAAACATGTCAGTATACCGAAACAATTTGCACAAATTCCATTCATTATGGATCTAATTATGGGATACTTTCATCCATTGATATGAAAAATTCCAATAGTTGTGAAAATATTAACATAGGTAATGCTATCGCATTAATTTTTTTTGACAATATAATTTTCTGAAAATAAGTTATAAAAAATGACACTTCATAATTTTACATAGATAAAAGATACGTAATGCAAAAATACGGCTTTACACCTGAAGGTAAATAATGGCTTTTTCTTTTATACTAATATGCGTTTTGTTATTATTATCTTTATCAATTTATTTATATTCCTGTTTAGATTTGTTGAATTTGAGCAAACGGAATGACTAGAACTTGTTTAGGGGTTTTTTTGTTGCACGTACCTCATACTATTAATTATAAAAGAAAAGGTTGTCAGTTGTTAAAAATAAAGTGTAAATGTTGAGAAACTTTGTAAAAGTTTTATTAAAACTATTTTTTATTATGAAGCCTTTGCTAATCAAAAATCAAAAAAAATTCGACATATCAAATGGCAGTCGAATGGCACCATCAAATATGTCGAATTTTTTTTAATTTTACCAGTGTTTGCTAATATTTATTATGCGGTTTTTTTTTTTTTGAATAGTTTGACCAAAAGCGAGATTTTTACTATTTTGAATTTTTTTTTAAAAAAAAAACAGAGAATCATACAAGCACTGATTCATTTTCCTTTAAAAAATAGTGCGATTTTATTATTTTTGTCATTACTTTTTTTTGAGTATGAGTGCTGTCAATGGTATGTAGAAATTATGTACGGTACGACTAAAAGTCTTGTACTGTACAGTATGGTACGGTACTACAGTGTGTTAAGAAAATCTTTGGACAACTTCGCACAACAATTATAACACAATGACTGCGCCAAATCACGTGATCAA